GTCGCCCCGATGGATGCGCTTTCTGCGTTAGCTTTGCTGTACGGCACGATTTCGACTGTCGGGAACGTCCGACGGAGGCAGGCAAAAGCCAACCCCCTGGTTCTTGTCAAAGCCGGTCGCGTATAGCGCGGAAAAGCGGAACTCTCGTCTCGGTCGCCTTGTTGCCAGGCTCTCGGAGCGATCGCTGCAGCTGGTCGGGAACGGCCGACAGAGGCAGGGCGAGCCCTACCGCCGCGGTGCAGCGAAACGGTTCGAGGAGCGAGCAATGAGCGTTGAGCGGAGAGCGAAATTGAGTGCAGTCTCGGACCGGTAAATGCCGGTAGTGGCGGAGAATTCCCTCACCACCGCAATACTGCTCAGGAGTTCGGATCTCTAGGAAGCGGTCGGTTTTCTAGGAGCTAGAACTAGGAGCAAAAAGCCCGAAATATTTGTTCACCGGGCTTTTATACCGGATTGTTGCTCCCGCTCGTATTGTTCCGGAATCATTCGGTGACTCTCGGCGTGGAACAATACGAGCGAGAGCGGCGGCGCTCGGCGTCGTTCGGCGACGCTCGGGTTTCGTAGATTTGGAAGTCTCGCGGCCTGAAATTATGCTTTTGTTATATGTCGAGCGCACCGCGCTCTCATCGCATACGGTGACCGGGGTCACCGTAGCGGCATCCGGCGAGTTGGTGTTACCGGGAATGATGCACTTATGGGGGTGCATCGTTACAAACATATAACTTTCCTGTAAGAGTTACAGGAAAGTTATATGTTAAAATTGAGTCCAACGGATGTCATTAAAGCAAAAATTATAAGGTTATGGTTGTCCGATATATTGTAATTATACAGTTTAGCTCAAAAATCAATAAAATTAGGCTAGTTTAACGCGTTTTTGCATAAAACGGAAGAATCTAGCGGAATCTGAAGAATCTTGTTCTTGCTCCATTTTGCCGTATACAGTATGGTTAGGGCAAACTCTTCGCTATTAACGTTTTGCCGGGTTTGCACCAACCTGGGTTGGATTAATGGCATTTTGCACTCTCCTATTTGTAAAGCGTGTGACGTCAACCAATAAGAAAGATTAATCCAACCCAGGTTGGTACAAACCCGATCGGGCCAAAAACGCTATATTATTGTTCACAGAACTTGTATTCGCTAGCGCTGTTTTGGCTCCGTGAACAGAGATGGTAGCGTTAGCATTGGTAGTGCGGTAGTGAGCTCCCTGAACGCATCCTAGGCTGCGTTCAGAAACTTCACCTTGCGGGTGATTGCTAGGAGACTGGGTGAATGAAATGGTAGGGATAAGGTATCCTCTCTGGTGTGTACATTTCTGAACGACCTAGCCATGCCTACCAGAGGAAAATGGCGGAGCATAAAAAACGTATTCTAGCACTTGCAAATGCTGCAAGTGATAAATTATTGAGAGATATCATGCTGAATATGGACAGTGAAGAAAGTGATGAAAGTGACAATGACGAAGAAATACTAATAGAATTAAGAAGAATAAATATACGCGGTTGTCGAGTAAAACCCCGTAGAATAGAAGGTTATGTAGAGGAAATAATTCCACATTTATCAAACAATCAGTTTCGAGAACATTTTCGGATGTTACCAGAAACGGATGAATTGCTTGAACAAAAACTGGCAAATGCTTTGACGAATCAGTACGATGATGGCAGACCAATGATTCCAATTCGTAAACAGCTTTTGGCTTCTCTTTGGTTGCTCGCAACCCCAGACTCCTACAGGTAATATATATTCTTTAATAAAATTATTTATAAATATAGAAATCTTTTATAATTAGATTTACACATTTTTTATCATCTTAGATCTGTTGGAGAACGATTTGATATTGGTAAAAGTTCATTAAGTGTCAGCTTTATGAGAGTCATAGATGCTCTGAATGAAATTGCTGACGATGTGATTCAATGGCCTCAAGGTCAGAAAGCAACTCATGTGACACAAACTTTCCAACAAATTGCTGGATTGCCCAATGTACTTGAAGCAATAGATGGATGTTACATACAAATGAAAGCCCCAAAAGTTTGTTGAATAAACTCTATGATAAATACAATCTAATTTGTATATTATAATTTGTTGTGTATCATGATTTTGTATTATAATTAATTGTATTATGTTTTCAGAATAATGCCTAGTATTACATAAATAGGAAAAATTATTTTGCCATAACTTTACAAGCAGTATGTGATGCAGAGATGCATTTCACAGACTGTTTCGCAAGTTATGCATCTTCAGTAAATGACATGCGAATCTTTAGAAACTCTGATTTATGGAGAGAAGTCCAAAATAATTACAATCAGTTTTTTCCAGAACAAGAGTATATAATTGGAGATAAAGCTTATCCTGTACTTAAATGGTGTATTCCTCCATATCGTAATTTTGGGAATATGACAGAGGTAAATTATTTTAATACTTTTGTATATTCTTTAATGTTTCTAGTTAATTATATGTTATATATTTATTCCTCAGATTCAAAACAACTTCAATTATGTTCATGCTCGAACAAGACAAATTATTGAGAGAGCATTTGCTTTGCTTAAGGGAAGATTTAGAAGATTGAAGTTTCTTGATATGAATCGAGATGATATGATTGCATACGTCATCATAGCATGTTGTGTTCTTCACAACATCTGTCTCAATAACGTAGTTGATAATGTGGAAGATTTTATAGCTGAAGGCCAAGTAGCTGAAGAACCAGTAGGGATGATTCCTGAAGTTGGTTTACCAGTAAATGAACCTGTGGTATATGAAGATGCTGGTGTTGCTAAAAGAGAGTACTTAGCATGGCTTGTATCATGATTGTATTAACATGGCTTGTATTAGTCCCGTAGATTTAGTAAGCCTTAATAAATTGACTTAAGAAATCATAATTCATCATTTTTTTTCACATTCGACCGTGATCGATCATTTTAATTCTTAAAGCTTACTACTCTTATTGTGTTTGAGACTTATGATTGCATTGACTATTTTATTCATAATCATACAAACTTGTGCAATGACAATGTAAAGATATTGTTACGATCATTAAAAGTTACAAAAAGCCTTAATTCAGATAAGTAATGTAAGCATATTATGTAATTTTTATTTTATTAAAGTAAATTACACAATAGTATTTGTAGATATTTATGTATCAATAGTAGTTTAATATTACTGTACAAAATTAAAGAGCAAGAGATTTTCTACAATAAGTCATTAGTAATGATGAATGGTCGCGTTCAGCAGATTCAACTTTTGCGGAGCGGATCCGTAAGCGCTCGCTACTATTGGATGATCTAAAAGAATACATCAATAGCAGCGAGCGCTCACGGATTTGCTCCGCAACAATTAAGTCTGTTGGACGCGATCAATCAGAAGTCAGAAGTTAAAAATTGAACCACAGTCGGATGTAAGAAGAATAATTGAGTATAATTGATCAATTTCTAGCTTCTGACTTTTGATTTATTGCTTATGGCTTAATATAGAAAGCCTCTAAAGTAAAATTCGTATAATGATAGAATAATGAGTCCTTGTATAAATTCAATTAAGATTCGTCTTTTTTAGTTATCTGTCATATATTATTGTAAAGTTTAGAATGTACAATAATTTTTTATGTAATAAAAGTTCAACAATAAATAATCTTATGTAATTATGAGTTAAACAATAAATAATCCGACATAAAGCTATTTAAATTTTTTTTAATCCTTACAGCAATTCATTTTAAAGTTAAATTTCAATATTTATTACTATTTGAAATTATGTCAAATTTAAGGAAAATGAAAAATTAAATTTTTATTTTTTATTTTCTTTCAAAAATAGAATTTATTTTGTACGTTTCAAAGACTATTTATTTTAAAAATAATTTGAAACCAAGATACATTTGAGAATGAAAAATATACAAACTTAAAAAATTTACATGGTTAATGACTACATATTGAGATTAACATCATATGTATTTGTTAAAACTATTTTGTACGTTATTATGACATTTTGTTGTACATAACAAGTCTGCATGTCATTAGCAGTACCATATAAACATTTAAAAAAAGAAAAGAAATCTTTGATAAACAATTATTTGACAATTAGCAAGTAACACTACAATAACAGCAATAACTAGCAATAACTATAAACCAATTGGTTTAAATTTGAATCTCGTAATTCTTCAGCTATCTGACGCCACACTACATCATTATGAATTTTGGGACTTTTAAATTGTGACTGATTTGTTTTCCACAAATGAAGGAAATTAGCTTTTTTACAGCGTAATCATCTTTCCAAGACGCAGCTGAAATAATAATAGAGAAAATTCAATGAAAAACTTAACATTAAAAAAACATGGTAATCATTATTACTATTTTTATTAGTAATAGCCTTTTACACCGAGCACTTGATACACGTACGAACTAATAAGTTTTTATTAAATAATCTTAATCTCGGCATATATTTAAAAAATGGTAAACAAAAATATACTAAGCTGATACAACATATGTCAAGATGATTGGGAGCAACATTACTTGTTGTGTTACTGCAATAACACAACATTAAAGAAACGTAGAAATGATACAAAAAGAGTAAAAAATTTGCATCACAAAACAAACCTGTTGTATATAGATTATTGTCTTTTACACATTCATTATTGACTTTTGTAAGTTGCAATTCTTTTAAACATTTAGTAGTAGGTATAGCAACAACGTTCTGATCTAAAAAAAATTATAAATATTTAATCAAACATAAATATGTATTCATAAAAAATATAAGCCATGTATCGATAGTGGCCCATATTTTTTGCGAATGAGTGTAGAAATAGAAAACACAAGAGATGATAGATAACTTCAATGACCTAGTGTATATCAAGCACTTGATATATGTACTAGCTAGTAAACTTTTTATTATATTATCTTAATTTCAGCGATACATGTATAAACATATATATGATATAACTAATTTAATTAATCATTTTGATACATATTGTACGGGAGTAGTACACCATTCTTTATGCATTGTCGAAATTAATATAATTTAATAAACACTTACTAGTTAATATGCATATCAAGTGTTCCTGTGAACAAGGTCAATAACCTCTAATATTAAATGTTTTGTGCAAATAAATGCAATCAAGTTAGACATTATATTCAATTAATTATAATTACGTTTAAAGCTAAATATTTTGCAAACAAATTGATTTATCAAAGAACACTATACAGTTATGACACTTTAACGGGACTTCATACGCAACATGACGAAAAAACCTTTATTGCACTTTATCGTAAATTATAATCGATCGAAGTAAAATATATTTTACTTACTTTCAGGATTCCACAATATAATTTGATTTTTATTATTGATCGGCATTAATAAATTCTTATTTGTAGCCATGGCTGCGTTTAGCAGACTCAACAGTTTTACAACCATTTTGTGATTCTTCGCTGAGATATGACTATTCCTTTAAATCTAAAAGTATCCAATCAACGCGACCAATCACAAAACGGTTGCAAAACTGCTGAGTTTGCTGAACGCAGTCCATGTTTCACTTCCCGCGCTTTGTGTGCCTATTCGATCGAGAGACTTTCCACCTAGCAAAAGAGCAGGGTGCAAAAGTCTCCCGATCGGGAACACCCGACACGTTTCTGAACGGGCCACCTATGTAACGCTGAGATACTCTCAATTGGTTTCTGAACGCAGCCCTAGAGCTGCGTTCGGGAAGCGCGCTATTAACTCTATTTGTGTCATACTATCCTTGTTTCACGTTTAATGGATGATGAAGACACAAATACCCAGATAACCAAGCATGCGATACTCGCACCAACTCGCACAAGATATCGCTACCGTACTGTTATTGTACTGCCACGAGGTGGCGGTGTACGGCGTAACTATACGGTAGCAGTACAAAAAGTCTACATAATAATATAGTATAGCGTATTAACAATGTACTTGTACTGCATACTGTTTAGGTATATCATGGTACATAACCCGTACCTTATCAATACGGCGTACTATTATCGACAGGAGAAAGACTGTGGAGACCTCTAGTCGAAGACGATATACATGATAATTGGTACTGCGAAAGTACAGCGTATGATTAGCTAACCTGAAAATAGTCGTTATAACATTAAAATTAAATATTAGACGCGACGCGCACAATAAACACTGCTGAAAATAAGAAATTAAATCACTCACATGTAACGACAAATATTACACGCAAAATATAATTATCCTTCTCTCTCTCGCTCTCAGAACCAACAAAAATTTTCTATCTCTTTTAATCGAGGCCCGCACGTTGGGCGCCAAATTTGTAACCGTACTCGCGAGCAACGGCACAACTTCGTCGCGGGTTCTTGGTACGCAAAAGTACGCAAATAAAGTATCTTCTCTCACTCGGTAGCTTAATTTTGCGACAGCCAGTCGGTTCGGCCAAAATTGTGATTCTTATTACTAAGTTGGGCGCCAGGCACGAGAAAGCGTGCCACTCTTTCCGAAATCTCCTCACTTTTGCCCGTAACCGATTCGCTACGGCAGGGGGTGGGTCGCCAGAGGTGTGGGAAATTTGTCGGAGGGCGAGAGAGATAGGCCACAAGAATAAACTACGTGAGAGCGTAATAATAAGAACAATTATATTTGAAGGAATATGATAAAGTAAATATGATAGATTACATTAGTGACGTAATTACAGGCACGTTCCGGAGCTTCGCTCCTCCGCTCTATTCGATACTCTCGGTACTCGCACAGAGAGCCGCTAACTTACTCCTAGCGCCGGACGCCGGTTACACGCTACAGCACGAGCTCCGACCTTCCCCGCGGTATCTTCCGACGGTGTCAAGCGCCCACCCCTCAACAACCGGCAAGAACCCGTACCCGCTGTATCACCAGACTCCTGGACGTGTAACGCCGGCCCGCGGCCGACGCCACGCGATGGTGCGACGCGATTATAGCGAACGCCTCTATGCGACTTTACTCGACAGCGTGAATTCCGGAAACGGACTCTACTCGGTAACACCGCAACCGAAAATTCACTCGGCAACGCGACAATCCGCGTTCCGAGGCGACAGCACAAAGCTCGGCGACACAATTATAGCAAGCGTGTCTACGCGACGCGATACTAAACGATAACGCGATTTCAATAAGCGTCGTTACGCGACACGACGAAACTCGACAACGAGAC